CCCCCCCCCCCCCCCCCCCTTCACATCATGTCGCCTGCCTGGATCTGTTACTGTCTCGCTCTGAAGCACAGAGGTAAGCTCGTTTCAACTGCTTTTATGACGCGGTCTCATTTCTGGACTCAGGCATTTTGTGAATGAAGCCGATATTTCAGTCAAAATACACAAGTAAAAATATTTATCCGAGTATAATACTATCCCCCAACTTTATGGATGATTTTATGGATTAAATTTTACGTATTATACTTGAATAAATACGATATGTCTTTAGATCCTGTCCATGAACACCACAGATAAGGTCACCCACCGTACARGAGCAACCCTGGAACACAGAGTGAGCTTGAGTCCTATTCGAACGTGATAGGCATTATCTGAGGACCCCATGWAATGAATAATTACTTTCCTACATCTGTTTTTTATGTGGCGCATTCGCACTGGATAACCAAAGCCTGAGATTTTGCTGAAATTCACAGATGTAATATTGAAGCCTGGTTGACGTGTTGAACATGGAGCCAAAAGTCACGCAATCACATTCTCATCCCCTGCCCCTGTGTCCYGGCGCGTGATCGTATCGTGGTCGTGCGCCTCCAGATTTAACGCCGCAAAGGCTGAGTKTGCGGGGCACCATTCAAACAGTTTGTTTGTTCGCCAAGCTTTTGTTCTCCTACGTTTCATAAGATAAAGTGTTTTGCCACATGYCCTTTTTGAGAATACTACAACAACGTAAGCGTCAAGTATAAACACCTCCACTGCTGGCAAGTGTGCGTGCTAGAGTACCCCAAACACAACTATAACCTAGCCCTAGCGCTGCGCTACGTCCACAGCTTGGCGCTGTGTTACTGCCAGTGTCAGCCAGAAGGCTACAAACAGAAAAATAGGATTCTTACCCCACAGGGCTTCCTCTCTGCTGCTGCTGGTGTGCTGCTCAGGATGGGAGGCTTTGATGAAGCAAAGTTTTGGCACAGTCTGCTGGCTTCTTTAGATGCATCTTTTTTGTGTGTACAGTGCTCTGAGACAACAATTGTTGTGACTTGGTGTAATATAATAAAACTGAATTGAATTAATAAAACCAAAATTATGAAAAACGCTAATCCACTAAAGGAAACATTAGCTTTGCTACTCTCTGTTAGTGGATTAGCAATACCATGCACACCACTGCGTAGCACCCAGAGCTCCCACAGCATCCCACTAGAATTCCTCAGGAAACACTCCACGAGTACTGGACAGTAAAAACTCCTGATTTCCTTTACAAGTCGGCAAGACGATCAGGTCCACTGTTCTCTGTCCAGGAATTACACACTGCTACGTACTGCTACTGCACATGGAATGTGTCAAACTTTCCCTGTTTGCACAAATAATCTGTCATCACAACATGAAACATTACAAACACGAATGTTCAAAGGTGTCCTTTCATAAATGTCATCAAGATGGTGAGGCACTGACAGCTGATGGTCTCACTGTGGACAAAACACAGAACAATGTGATKAACAGGACATCAGAACCGTACAACATTCACTTTCACACCACTACATGCTAATTTATTACTGTGTATGATACTCCATCAAATTATCACTGCTATCCATAACTGTTGTTTTTATGGCAAAGACAGTAAAAATAAAATACATCTGATWATAAGAAAGCAGATCAGGATAGGTCAAATTACAAAAAGTGTTTTAAATCAGTGTTAGGCTAATCAAATGCTCCAATTTTAGCTGCAGAAACTTTCAAAATCCATTTCTGCTGAAGTAATTGTGCTTCTTTAAATAGTCTTACTGTATTGATAGAGGGCAGGAGCAAGGCTGCAGCACAGATATGTGTGTGTTTGTGACATTTTCTGAAGATTTTCTGGTATAAACATTTACCTTGTTAGGACCAGTTATCCTTTTGGGGTCCTAATGTAGCAGAACATTGATAGTTTAAGGGTTAGGTTTAGGACAGGTAATGATCAAGCAAGGATAGAAAAACAAACGTGTGTGTGTGTGTGTGTGTGTGTGTGTGTGTGTGTATACTCTAATGTCTCTAAGGCACATTTCAAACCCTTCAACAGTACACTGAGTCAAACGGACACTTGCTGTACGACTGTGATCATGGTTTTTAAACTGCTACACTCTGACACAGCAGACTCTTGGTGCTGTTTGGTTCTGACCTAATGCTCCACTGCCTATGCTTCACTGTCATGGTTATACTGACTAATACAAGGTGCTTTTCACTGACACTTGAAACATGTAACATTAGCATGCAAGTGTGCTACATGTGTCCTCTTCCTGCTCAGGTTGGTGTGCCACAGTTCTGCAGCCTGGCGACCACGTTAGCGTTAAGATGAGATGTTCTAGGAGCTTTTAGCAGAAAATATTTGGTGAGAACAGCAGGGAGTAGACATGCACCTGCAGGAAGAGAAGCAGGGGTGTGGTTGGGAATGAGGGAGTAAAATTTCTTCAATGAGTGTTTTTGCACCTTATATATATATATAAATTTCCCTGTTGTATATCTCAGACAGTCTCCACCTTGGAGATGGACAAGCTTGTTAATAAGTGAATAAACATTTTGAACATCAATGCAGAATTCGCTTTATTTTTGATATGTGATAAAGTTACGGGGCCCATTCAGTGACAATGGAGAAAAAAATTATTGTGGGCACACAATGATTACGTCATGGCCACGACATAATTATTGCTGTCATTTCCATTCAGACTGTTGATAATGTCCAAAAAGCTTTATTTTCTTTCTTTGAAGCTCAACTTTCAAAACAGGCTCCTGTCACTCTGTGCCTCAGCTGCAGATAGAGCCTGAGTTATTTTGTGTTCAGGAACACAGTAAAAAACCTGTTTCCCAACGCACAACCATTGTCATTTCATAAATAGCCTATGAAAGATGATCCATGTATATTGA